CAAACAACAAGCGCCATTCGCCACTAAGTGGCAGTGACGTCACCACGACCATTGTGCCAGGCTGTGTGCACGTTGAGGCCACGTGAAGTGTCGAACGCCGGCTGGCAGGAGGTCACGGGGCAGACCCAGCAGGTGCCACGGGTCGACTGACTGAGATGACTGGCTGATGCACCACCTGTGCCCCCTACTGTCCCAACTTGCTGTGCTTTATCCGCCGGGCGCTCCGCTCGTTGTTGTGAGCGTCGCTCCTCCGCCCTCCGTTGTTGTTGGAGGGCGACTGCCTCCAACTTGCCCAGTAGCAGCGTCCTTCACGAGCCTCCTCCACACACGCCGCACGCGCTGTGTGATGCGTAAGGCATCGGCACTGCGGAGACAAAGGCGGCTGTGCGTGCTGTTGGCCACCCCATCGCGTGCTGTTCCGCAGGTGTTCGCGAACAGCACCTGCCTCAACAGTTCATTAAATGCCATACGGGGGATCTTTGTCTTGTTTTATTTAATTCCTTAAGTGTAACTACGATCAGTCCTGTAGCGTGACCGTATTTAAAGGGGGAGGAGGAGGAGGGGGGGGGCAAATACAAACTCGGTGCAAAAAAAAAACTTGAAACAATTGTCAAACGCTAAACAACACGAGTCCCCGATGAAGTTTTGCTTCTATCTCTCGTCACTTCTACTCTGGCCACTCACCCCCTGTGCATGCGGGAAGTGAGTGTGGGGGGTTACCCCCTCCACCACCCCCATGATACGGGGCTGATCCACTGCTGGATGAGGTCCTCCAGTACCACACCAATGGGTGATGCTCCACTGCCCTCTGCTGCCCACTACGTAGCCACGCAGCATCCCGGAGTTGCGCGTCTCACCTCGCAGAGCTTCCACCATCTGACCGACACGGGGCACACATTGCGGGTGTTGACGCGGTGGCTAGGAGATGTTAACTACCTCGCCTGGTATACAGGAAGTCGTGGGTTCGACCCCAACCCTGACGCCTGCTGCTGCTGTATATTTGGAGTTTGCGTGTCTTTCTCTCTCTCCCCGTGGTCGCGTGTCCCTCCACATTTAGAAAAAAACACGCGTTTAGTGGTTGGCTGTGATACATTTCCACGTGATAAGCCACTTTGCTGAGCTATCACTTGTGGCCAGGTCGCTTCTGAAAAAGAGCTACATAGCTCAGTGGACATTACCTGGTAAAATAAAAAAAATAGATTATAGTTGTAATCCAGGGACAGTGCGGTGGGATTCTACTTTGCATCGTGCAAGCCTGGATCGACTCATAACCAACATGTCCATACGTATTTCTGTGCAGCCCTTTCAATCCACTGTTGGATGAAGTCATCCCCACGCCGTGTCGGTCATGGGGGCTGTTCAACCATACTTCACCACGCTGGTGAGTGCGGGTTGTTGAATAGGGGGCAGCCGTATCAGATGGAATGTCTACTCGCAACTGATGTTAGCCGTGACGGGAAATCGGACTATCCTTGCTTGGTCCACGGTGCGGTGCGTTAAACGATTGTGCCACCAAATAGACCACAACTTACAGTACAGGCAAAGGCGCAGGCCATCAATTACTTGGTTACGCCACTTAGCGCAGAAGGACCGTCATAAATTCTGGATTACTTTTCTTTCACAATGAAAGCAATAGTTCAATGAGACCATGTGCCTTCTTTTTTCGTTAAAAGGAAGACCCGAGTTTAAGTAAGCACAACAACAGCAGCAGCAGCGAACAACTTACCCCAGGGTAAGCAACACAAACACGCAGACGCAACTTGAGACACTAAAGATCCCTTACCAGCCAAAGCAGAACTTGAAGCGGTCGAGTCTGTGGCGCGGTTCCGTAAATAAACAACCCACGGCGGTTGATTTATGAAATGCGTTTGTGTAACTGTATTATTTGCCCGGCAGATGTTCGTTTGCAGAAACAAACCAATGACAGCCCTCGCAGTCGTCCCAGGAAGCCACACGGGCACATGGCAGACGCGCGTCCCACAAAGCGACGACGAGAAGAGGGCCTCGCGTGTTTCCAATGCTCCACACCCCCCTTCCCCCCCCCCCTTTTTTCCACTGGCTCATCCGAGCCGAGCTAGCGCAGGGCCCGCCTTACGGTACTCCGGGTGGTTTATTCCCGCTGGTTAATTGTCAAGGAGAGCCCGAACCAAACCGTGAAACTTTGGCTCCAAGAAACATTTGAATCCGGCTCGGGGCCAAGCATTGGCCAGGGCAATGATTTCATTTTCCCCTTGCACTGTCAACTTTTCCACCATTGTTCCCAAAGCACTGCATCACAGGCGTGCACCACCACCACCTACTACAACTATCACCAATTACACCACAACCACCACCTACTCCAACCATCACCAATTACACCACCACCACCTACTACAACCATCACCAATTACACCACCACCACCACCTACTACAACCATCACCAATTACACAACCACCACCTACTCCAACCATCACCAATTACACCACCACCACCTACTACAACCATCACCAATTACACCACCACCACCTACTACAACCATCACCAATTACACAACCACCACCTACTACAACCATCACCAATTACACCACCACCACCTACTACAACCATCACCAATTACACCACCACCACCTACTACAACCATCACCAATTACACCACCACCACCTACTACAACCATCACCAATTACACAACCACCACCACCTACTACAACCATCACCAATTACACCACTACCACCGACTAAAACAATCACCAATTACACCATCAACTACACCATCACCAACTACACTATCACCACCACCGACTACAACCATCACCAACTACACCACAACCACAACTACACCACCACGGTTGGCTACGTACGGTGGGAAAGAAGTTCAACTTACATACGTACATCATGCGCAGATAAAGAGCGAGCTAATGGGCTAGTCACGGTCCAGACACTTTTCACCATGAACCAATACCTAACACTTTCTCCGAATGATGAGAAACTCACGAGACACCAAAGTGAATGCAGGCTGAAAACAAATACGAGTAGAGCAAGGTTGGCTCTTCGATTATTTAAGCAACAGCTTGCTCTACCAATTAACAGTGACAAACACCACAACAAAAACAAAACAGGTGCGATGCCACAACCGCGTATACGCGAATATTTTGTCGAGGCAGGTGCACGATAGGTCGCGTTTGCGGTTAAGTCACGTGTATTGTTTAGGAATAACAAAGGCAAATCCTTGCTTCAGAAATACATACACATAACAGTGTTCATTTGGTGAATGGTATCATTTAGTGGCAATTACACGTTGGTCGAGAGGCTGGAGTAATATGGACGTGTCTATGAAAGGTAACATATCAACGTGTCTTAAAAAGAATGTTGATAACTGCGTACCGCCGGTTGTATAATGATCAAAAGTTCGTATAAAAGCTTGGAGACGCACATGCTTTGAATTACATTGAGACAGAAAGAGGAACACGTGGATTAGAAAACATAATTCAAACTGTTAATAAAGGTAAATGGGCTTGGGCAGGACGTGTTGCTAAAGGGGATGGCCAATAATGAAGACATTTGGATTGGGTAATCAAAATTAACGGGTCCCATCTTTGGGGACATCCACCGATGATATGCAGCAATCAACTCCGATACAGGTTCTGGGTGATTACGGATCGTTGAGAAATGGCAACTGCTGCTTGGGGAGTCCTTCATCCAGCAGTGGATTGGACATGGATTGTTGGTGTACAACAATACGACGAATTGCATACACACGTTGTGAGCACGATATACATAAAAGGGTGGACACGAGGTAAGAATATTAAACGTCACATAAGCCTCCATTCATCCACTTTTGAGACAGCGTCGCTTTAAAAAAATACATGGCATTTCCACACACCACTCACTACGGCAGCTTATTTAACAAAGCACTTTAATGAAGCCATCCATATGGTAAAAGCTCATGCCTTATCGGGGCTAGAAACTAGCTATGGCAGAAGGCAAAATATGTGCCATAAACAAGGCACCACATTTCCACCAGAGCAGGTGGCAGGCCCACTGAAGATGCAACTCGCAGTGCTTTCCCTACCAGCATTGTTTCCTCTCAAAAGGGGATGGGGGTATCAAAGTTGGTTTACAGTTTGAAACATCTGCCGCAAAGCACCACCAGCTAAGACAATGGCAATAACAGCGCCAAAATGGCATGGCCACTATTGTGCCCCATCTTTGCCGCAAAGCAAACGCAATTCGCTTGTATTGGTTTTGTGCTCGGAACTGGCTATGGATCTTCATCTGTAATTATTATCGGAATGATGCCACGATGTTAATGGTTAGCTCGCTGAGCTTGCAATCCAGAGCTGGCCGGTTCGATTTAATCTGCCGGCATGGCAAATTAAACGGGCAAGTTTCTTAGATCCCCCGACCTGCCCGCCGAGCAGTCAAAACGGGTGCTTGCCACGAGTCTTTCAGCAGGCCGTGAGATTACTCCACCTCGAGATGTACTTTCTTGAGACTCTTCCGCCAGCAGTGGCACAAGCAATTTCAGGGTTGCGCATTTACTCAAGACCTATTTTATTGGCAAACCATTGTAAATACCAGACTTTTCAGAGGGGAGTTAATATTTGGTGTAACTACCCGCATTTCCACATGTAGACAAATAAGCACACGTTAAAATGATTAAATCAAAACAAGAATACGTAATGTTACATACAATTCCCTTTGTATTTTTTTTGTTGCTTCGTCTTTTTATTGGCCGAATCCATTTAAATTAATATTCAAACTACAATAACCACATCCATTTCTAGACAAAGCCTCAGATTTCGCAATGAAGACATCAGCCAAGATCAATTCATGGATGAAGGCATCTCAAAGCCGTCACCACCCTCTCACGATCCTGCGATGTAATAATCCACGGCTTGTAGCGAGGGACTTCAACCGGGCAGTAAATAAATGGCAAATTACATGATTTTGCAGACCTGGTGACTGAAAAGCTTTAGTCATTTCAAATCATTAGTAACATTAAAACAAAACAATGACAGTTTTACATGCAACAACATTTATTTGAATCAACAAAGAGGTTCCACTCTTACCATAAAATTGAGTTACCCCCCCCCCCCAGTTGGTTATGAAAGGTCAACAATGTATTCCTGCCGATGCATAAACATAAAATGTGTTTTGTAACAACTGGCCTTAACATTAACATGGCCATGTAAAATCGCAGCATGCATCTAAAATCTAATAAAACATTGGTAGAAGCAAAAGCATTAAAGGCAAGTTGCTCATGCACTGCACATTTTAACAAAAGCAAGCAAGTATGATCATGATTGGGTTTCTGAAATGTATATTTTTTCTGAACTAAGTGTTATTCATTTAAATAAACTCGGATTATAGCCAAATTAGTGATAATGTGGAACACTGTAAAAGCTGCGCATTGATCACAGTACATGACACCGATAATGGCAATTATAGAGACAAATTCTAGAAAATTGTACATTACTTTAACTTATTTCAAAAGAGCAATCTTGTTTTTAAAAAGGTCAAATTATTTTCCTTTGCAAATTGAAACCCAGAGCATGTTGAATATTACCAGTGTGCCTGCATCTTTACATGCATTTGGACATAAATGGAAATAACTTTATGCATAAACATGTTATCACAGAATTATTATATAAGCAGAGGCAGTGGTTTACCGAGGCCATGCATTAACTGCAACAGCAAACATTAAAAATGAGCAATTCCCAACCAAAACGTGCAACTCCAACAGCAAATATTCAAAATGAGCAATTCCAAACCAAAATGTGCAACTCCAACAGCAAACATTCAAGATGAGCAATTTCAAACCAAAACGTGCAAAGTACACAAGTGATTTAAGAACAAAATCGCATCGACTCATAAAATAATTGTCTCATAAGTGTCTTCAATGAATCGGGATAACTCCTGGGTGTAGTTTATGAGGTACATCCATTTTCTTAAAACCCTGTTATTTCCATTAAAACATTTAGCCCATTTATAGCTCGTAATTGGCCAGATGGATCAGTGGCAAGAGGCAGTGGCTCACAATCTTAAGAACGAGCGTTCAAATCCTAGTTGGTTGGGGATTAACTTGACCCATTATCCCCCTGGGTCCAATAAAATAAGTACCACTTTTTTGGGAAGTCAACAGTGGTTGTCTTATGAATACTCACCCTTTCCATTCAGAACTTGGTGGCATTTTCAGCATTGGCTCAGGGCTTTAAACATACGAGTACTTGCTTCAATGCTCATATGAGCAGAAAGTCAAACTTTTCTGACAGGTTGCAATGCAATTTCCGTTGGATATATGAAAACATAAAAACAGTAAAAAAAATACCTAAACTAGAAGCAAATTTTTGGCACAAACAATCCAATGATACAGTAGTCAATGAACAGTACTAAAAACTGGACTTCCTGGTGAATGGAGACCAGCTAACATGTTGAGGGTTGCTTTGCACTATTCCATAATTTAGTTTTGAAAGTGCATTTTTCAATTTGCAGTTGTAAACATTTTTTATCGTAAATTAAACCATTTTGTTTGACCATCAGGCCACCAAACATAACATTTATAATGACCAACATGAGCTATAAATTTCAGTTTAGTTACAATTCCACATACATTTCAAAAATTCCGATTTTACCCATTTTCCCCACTTATAAATGTAAGAGCCCACGAAAACCAAAGCAGCTCGTACATACCTTCATATATGCATATTCCAAATAAAATCCACTTACAAGCAAAGTTTTCAATTACAATTTAAAGCTTCAAAATATTATAAGTGTCTAGTTGCGCCGCATTTGGTGTTGCCCGACGTTTCGTTCCAAGTACTAAGGGCTTCATCAGGAACTAGCATACTATCGAACATACCAAACAACCGAAAAAAAGAGCTATTCTCTCAAGCTATATTTTTTTACAATAATTGTTTTGCGTATGGACTGCAGCCACTATTTAAACATCAAAGAGCACCTCAGCACACGATGGTATATACCACTAGACCAAGGGACAAGACAAATGAACACCACTCGTTGCTGCAATGGCCCATCTGCACATGAAGTCACTTCCTTCTGGATCCTTCCCGGGCCAGCCTATCCGCAGCCTCATTACCTTTGTGGCCACTGTGACCCGGAACGTGCTTCTGAAATACATAATAGGACACACACATCCATCATCATCGCGAAAGTGACAGGTTGTTCCCCGCTTTCAAATGAATGTAAAAACATTTTTTTTAAATATCAAATCTAAAGAAAACATTTTGGAAAATCCGAATTCCTTTGGATTTTTCCAAAAATTCGACGGTGAATGCAGTTACTTCCACGTGTCGATTTCTTCCTGCGAAGGTGCCATTTTATAATTTCAACTTGTAACGCACACCGTATTCGCTCACTCCTGAAGAGAGGACACGAGAGGCAATGGGGAAGCAAAGGGGGCAAGCTGGAAGGCAGCCACGTGGCGAGCCGGTGCCAATAATTACCCAAGCTCTGCAGTCTTGTGTATATTAAGGCATTATCGGCCAATAGATGTTTACATGTTGGAGAAAAGACACAACAGGGTATTTTTGCTCTGCTGATTTTTCCTGGCGAGCCAAGGTATAGGGGGGACCTCGACTCCCACAGGAAGGGAGTTTCACAACATTTGTATGATCCACCAACCCTCACCTCCAGTGCTGGATTACAGGCGTGTGCCGAAAGTGGGGTCACGTTTAGATTCGAAGCCTTCGTGACTGCAAGGATCCATACTCTTGGTTCTATTCGGTAAAGTCACGTAGGTGACTTTACCGAATAGAACCAAAGAGTATGGGTCACATTTACTTAAACTACTAAATTATACCCTTGTTAATCAACTCATCCATATTAGACAGTGAAAGTGATTTCTTGCTCAGAGCATTGAGGCAAAGCTCATCTCTTGTGGAATTCCACATTCCAATCGCAGGAGCGAGGCTATTGATAGAACGCACCTTTTCACTCCCCCACACTGGTACTAATTTTATCGACTCCGTGAGGGATGATGGGCTCAGCCAACCCCCAATCAGGATTTGGACTGGCAACCTTCCGAATGCAAGCTGCTTGCACTACCACTGCACAAACAGGCCCACTTATCAGATGATACCTAAACGATATTTCTGTTGATTCAGCAGGCAAGCCCAACAGAGGCCTTACCCAAGTGACATCGATTCCCTGGCTCAGTCGATCCAGTTTCTGAAATTCAGCTTTGTTTTTCACCGGTTCTCCTGTGACCGTCTTCCATCCATTTTGCTTCCAGGTATTCACCCACTTGGTGGCCCCTATAACACAGGAAAATACACTCAACATGAAATATATTAACCTCAAATCTAAATAAATATTTGTTAGATCATGCAGGTGTAATGTTAAAGATGTACCTTCCGACACCACACACTGGAAATACCTACACAATCTAACATAAAAATGCATCGTGAATCATTACTGGTCACTTATTTCATTTACAGCCCTTTGTCAAATCATTGCTAGATGGAAGCAGCGCTAAACCACGTTATGGGAGTTGTTTGACCATACTTCAGCATATGGATTGGTGTAAGCAGGGCTGGTTAAAATATCACTTGCCACAGATATGATACACAGGTGGGATTCAAACTCAACTCGCTTGTTCATAAAGTAATGTGCCAACCGTAGCACCACCAACACTCTCATCTACCAGAACCATCCAGCAATAACGCAAAAACGTACTACCGTGTAGGTTCACGGCTGCATGCATCTCCAACATGTTTTCCGGCTGGACCACATGTTCTTTAGCATGTCTGCCTTTAACGTTCATTTTGGAAGCTTTTTCAGTAACTATAAGCTGCTCAAGTCAATTCCTGTAGCTTCCAAGGGTTTTAGCAAAATGTGACATCATGCTGAACATCACGTGGGGCAACCTGAAAAACACATTGAGAACTAAAGAAAAAAATGGCCTTTTACATTATAAGACCTCCTTTGCCAGTAACAAGATATAGTAATAGGTTTTACCCTTTTAACTGGCACAAAAAACTGACACCTTTATTCAAGGCATCATGTTTGCAAAAACCACAACACAAGCAGTCAAAATGCAAACAAAAAGAGACAACTCTGATAATGCACTGTCCTTGAAATTGATTGGTCCACACCCGAGACAGCTTTTCTTAGAGCCTAGTCTCCATTTCAAGGACAGTGCATTATCAGAGTTGTCTCTTTTTGTTTGCATTTTGACTGCTTGTGCTGTGGTTATTGCAAACATGATGCCTTGAATAAAGGTGTCAGTTTGTGCCAGTTAAAAAGGTAAAACCTATTACTATATCTTGTTACTGGCAAAGGAGGTCTCATAATGTAAATGCTCACCCCGAGCCCTCAATACTCTGATAGTGCGCTGTTTTTGAGTTGTATGCCTTTTGGCGTCTTCTGGTCCAACACCAGTGGAGACTAGGCTCTAAGAAAAGCTGTCTCGGGTGTGAACCAATCAATTTCAAGGACAGTGCATATTATTATCAGTTGTCTCTTTGTTTGCATTTTGACTGCTTGTGTTGTGGTTATTGCAAACATGATGCCTTGAATAAAGGTGTCAGTTTTTGTGCCAGTTAAAAGGGTAAAACCTATTACTATAAAAAAAAATGTCCTATTCAATTGTGCACATGCATACCAACTGTAAGTGAACAAGCCAGTTATAAATCTCTAGCAACACACCAAACTCTTCAGGAAGATTCAACTGTTCTTACCATCGATAGTGAATTTGCTGTCCGTGTGGATAGTCAGCTTGTCCAGGTTCATTTCCCGAGCTTGCTCCAGAGCGCGAGAAGCAGCCTACAAACACAACCAGACATACGTGACTAGGATTGCAACCCAAGTTTGCCGTGATTTCGTTTTCAAGACAATTTTTTTTAATCTCACTTTGCGATGATATCTCGTGATATTAACCACAGGCAGACCTCGCCGAACGCGGGAGTTAAGTTTTGGGAAATGCTTCGTTGGGCAAAAACTGCGTTCGACAAATCATAGACAATGGGAAAAATAGGGTCGCGTTCCTGGGTTCGAAATTACCATTCCCTCCCCCCTCTTTGTTTAACTAATCCTACATGATATCCTTCCTTGTTTTGAACTGAAGGATGCGGAGTGGCTCTCCATTTCTTGTGTGTGTGTATACATAACTTATGTTTGAATTTCACCTCAACACAAACCACTTCCCGTGCCGCGGCTCTAGCGCCCGACGTTCGCCCCTCACACCGAATTGTCAGCCCGACGCTCGCCCCTGTCACTTGAATGTTAATGAGTTGCCATGAAGGTGTCCGTCTAACGTCCTCAACAACCGGACGATTAGATGCATGCGGCAACATGTGAATATTTGCGTTGTGCCTTTGTCCGCTAGTGTATTAGATTAGCACACCAAAACATACATTGTAATTTAATCTTCGCACTGATCCACCTTCCAACGAATGCAAGATTTCAATAAAATGCAAACATTTTTAATCAAGCTTTAAGTTTACTGGAAGTACAGAAAAAAACAATTTAGTAATAATTGTGATATACAATTACAAAGTTATAGAAAAGTAACATCACAATAATCAAATCCAGACAATTTGTATGTCTGGAAAATGTTATATTGTTGGAACCAGAATGCATACACATCTCTGAATCAGCTCAAGGTTCCCGTAAATCACATGACCTGTGTGACCACTGTCACCGAATCCGTGCACTCTCTCCACCCCCTGTGAAAACAAGACGCTGCTCAATGCAGCTCAATTGTTCTTGCTCCCCTCCCCTCAACCCCAAAACCTTGACCTTGTCATTCCTTCTCTGCCTCTTCCCCAGCGCCACTTTCTTTCTGCTGCTCATCTTGACGCATACCCTCTTGTTCATCTTGGGGACTTTGGTCCCAGCATCCCTTCTGTTTGCTAGTCATCTCGCTGTCTGACCTTTTGCACAACTTTAATTCGATGAACAATAACAGCCAACCACCCGTAACTTTGCATAACATTTATATATTTCCCATTACTTTCTTCTCTTTTCCTTGTTCCACAAGTTATATCCTCGACTCAATTACCCCATGTTGTGCCACGGGTAAAAGCTTCTATACCCCCTGCATACAGATCAAATCCGACTTGTAACCTTTCGCAAGGCAGTGCTCAAAAGTTACTCTCTGATAAGCACAATTATTTAGCAGTAAAGGAGAACAATTAAAGCAGACGTTACTCACTTCTATTTCTGCCCTTTGGTTGGTCGGGCGTCCTCCAAGTTTTTCACTTACGTTCCTACAAGTGAAAAAAACGAAATTGGATCACCACATCGTAGGCCTAGCAAACAAAAGTGATTGCACGAGTGAAGAAGCCATTATAAAAGGAAGACGACTTACATTGGGTTGCCGTCGCCCCAATACACGCCTACTCCTCCAGAGGCCCCTGGCTGGCCGTTCCTTGTGCAGCAACCGTCCGTATAAACGGACACGCCATCTAGTTGGAACAACACTCACATTTGCATTTTCCACACTGCGTATTTTTTGGTGGTTGTGCCGTGTCGCCCATCGAAGTGTTTTTGGATCGTACCGTGTGTTGTATGGCACGATGTCTGATGTTTCGCTCGAATTACTGGGAGGCTTCTTCAGGACTGAATTCGGTTCCTGATGTTTCTGCCAAAGCTCATTTATTATCCTTACCAGTCAATATGATGTCTCTGATTTGTGTAATTCCCTGACCCACGTGCTCTTTCCATTTCTCAGCTGAATGCAGTTCCTGAATTTCCTAAAGCTTCCAGCACGTGTAGTCAAGATATCATGCCGAACAAATTATGCCGAACAACACGCGGTTCAATCCCCCCACACCACGATTTGCTCATTAGGTATTAACATTTTATGATAGCGTTTATACGCAGCTGCATACCAAGAAAATATACAAAGTACACCAAAATTGATTTGCATAGAAGTGTGGAAAGGCGGCGAAGGCTGATAGGAGAGAGCCACTTCACGGCCAAGCTCGGAACAGAGAAACCTGGGTTCAGCACAAACAAGCTAAAAATATATCACATTCTTTGGGTCTTTCGGTACATACTTTGATACTGGCAAAAAGATCCCATTTTGAAGCTAAATATAAACCCCTCTGCTCAACCATCCAATTTCCAAAAAGAGGACGAAACTGTTGAAATGCAATATGTACCTTTTATTGCACAATGATGGGTTTGTTTACACGTAGAGCAGCTCAGCCTATCACTGACTGGCTTCCTACCCTTGCAACCACTACCATTGCCTGGGGTTGCCTGGCCAATTCGAAATGTAACCCATCCTTTCACTTCCAGCACGTACCCGAACGCTGCGTGTGTTCGTATCTCGATCCAGATCCAGAATCATAGAAGTCGTGGTACCCACTGTTTAATTCAGACAGAGCAATACAAAGTTAGTACAGGCGGTCCCCGCTTTCACGATACAATGCGTTCCTGGAAACACTGTCGTCGCAAAATTGGACCATATTTTCCCCATGGACAAGTAGAAACATCACTTGTCGATGTATTTTTTTATTTTATCAGCCATATTTAAGAGGCTTTAATTCGTAAAAATCCATAAAACACTCGAGAATAATAAAAGTTCCACGGCAAGCCACATAAGAAACCAGACTGTTCAGTCAGCTAGGAAGGAGTTGTAAATTAAAGTTTCCGAGCCATAATTAGATCAGTAGCAGCCCTATATAAACTTCTTAAATGTGGATTGTGGTAAACTGGACCATCGTAAACCGGAGACCGTCTGGATTATACAAAAAAAGTATTCAGTGGTGTCAATCTGTAGGGTCGTTGCAAAATGCTCCTTAAATTTAATTTCATAATGCACTGCTAGCAAGCTCACATAGGGGCAGTGAATGATCAACTGCCAGAATGACGATTCTCTCCTTGACAAATTATGGTTGGGTACAACATGCCATTCACAATCATAGGTGAGATCAGTTTCACAGTCGCCAATACATAACATGCCTGGACGTGCACATAACTGGGCAGATTGTGTTGGAAGAGAATGGAGTACACCAGTCACTGGGAATGGGTGCAATGCCCTCCATGCCCACTCTGTGGCGCTGTAATTGCAAAATGTTGCTGCCAAATCAGCAGGTCTGGGGCAATAGCGGCGGATGGGGCAACTGCAACGCTGCAGTGTTAAAAAGAGACCAAGATAATAAGAGTACATAGCGGCAGGCAGCGGGAGTACAGCCGGGAATGGGACCCGGTGCGAGACGAACCGACTACATCTCTCCTCTACGGTGAACCCAGCGACGGCAGTTTTCAGTTACAGCGCCATCAACATGCGGATTTGCCTTTGCCACTTTCGCCGATAAGACATCAGTCGGTGCGAGTGGCCGCCACATTGGAAACCATTCGACGGCACGAAGGGTTCTTTGCATATTTAGGGCGCCACGGTGGCTGGGAGATGTTAACTACCTCGCCTGGTATACACGAGGTAGTGAGTTCGATCCCGACGCTGGTCGCCTGCTGCTGCAATATTTGGAGTTTGCGCGTTCTCTCTCGCAGTGGTCGCGTGGATTTTTTTTCTGGGCATTCCGGTTTTGAGCTTTAATGAGCCAAGAATGTATGTGTGTCCCGCGCGTGACGTCGGCCAGCCCCCCTCATTAATAATCATGAGCAGGTGACGTCACTCCACATGGAGCACCCCCCCATTTATAAAACAAATTAGCGGGTTACGTCACTAACATGGGGGGCGGGGCGGGGCGAGGCGCCTCCCCCCCCCTGCTCAGCATCAACTCACAACCCTCACTACAAAGGCAGAATCCTCACGTCACGCGATCTCCGTCACGCTGTTGTTGAGACAATATAAGTAAAAATGACGTCATGACGAACAAGGGATTATAATCTTTAACTTAAATAAGTCTGCGCCACCGCGGCCTTACAAATTGCACACGAATGGATGCGGTGAACGTCACGTCGCGGTCTGCTTTTCGTTTGCAAGTTTCACATTTACTGCAACACACCCACGTCCTTGGACGGGCAAAAGTCTCGTGGTCATTTATAACAGCCAGGTCGCTTCTGAAGAAAAACAAGAGTTCCATAGCTCAGTGGGGGCCTTACCTGGTAAAATACAAATAAAATGTCTTTTAGTGTATTGTCAGGGCCGCACTAAAGACCACCAGAGTCCCACGGGCCTTGCAATGAAGAAGACTGCCCGAAGCGATGTCCGCAGAGACGAGGAAGGGGGCATGGAGGCTCACCGCCAGTCGTCGCTCTGCCTGCCGTACCAGCTGCGCGAATTCCACGCCATGTGTGTTGTTGTACCTGGGCGCGAGTAACAAAGAAAGCAGCACGAGTTGTCACGGCGTTAGACCGTCGGAACGTGAAAAGGCGACCAGCACAAAGACAATGCACTATCAGGGCGTTTACGGTATGCCTACCGTACCTTGAACTTTTTCTTTCGCACCGTCCGTAGCCAACCGTGTTAATCTGAGGTGCCGTCTCAATCCCGGTTCCATTCTCTTCTCTAAAATTCAGCCCTCGTGAAATTCCATCACGATTCCCAAATGTCCCCCGCGAACATTAAATACCACACACGCGCCTCATCATCATCATCCCCTTCGGCGCATACATTAGCAATGATCTATCCACTGCTGGATTGAAAGCCTCCCCCCAGATGATTGCCATCCCCGTTTCTCGCGATGCAGTCCATAGTGTCTACACTTGAACATTGTTCACCTCGCTATGCATATCCCGCCGTGGTTTTGCCTCTCTCGCGTGTTCTCTGCATCTGTGTGTTGAACTTGTTTCGCACCGTCAAGTGTGGTCAACATCCCCGCCATCCCCGCCACAGCCACGCGTGTGACCTTCATCCAGCAGCGGATCGACCCATGGTCGACGAAAACGATGCACAACTTTTTTTTGCAAAAAACTGGATACATTGACGTCCAAGCTTACAGCGGAAGGGATCGAATTTGTAAACAGTATGTTATCATCTTAAATTAATATTGGATATTAAATTAACAATATTAAAATGGACAGAACGGGAATCCGTTATTTTCCCGCCAAATGTCCCCGAGACCACAAGGGGGCGAACACCGCCAACCCGCAACAATTGCCGAATACACAATCACATTCGAGACATCGACTTCAAACAATTATAACTACGACGAGAACAACCGACTAAAGTTACCTCAGATTTCGACGTCTTATTTACGTTCGCGCTCAAGCGCAATTGGTGCTCAAACAGCCCTGATCGATCGACTGCTGGATGAAGGCCTCCCTCAAGCCTTCATCCATCCCTCGATGGCTCTGCAATTCAACGATCCGCCACCTCCATTGCATCGCTCCACATTCTCTCAATCGCGTGCGATACGTAACCAGCATAGTACGACGGCGTTGTTTCTTCCGCACAAAGCTACAAACATCGCTTCCCTGGCATCCTCTGCGAGATGACTGTATCGCCAAGTAATTCTCGCTGGACGAGCAAAACTTGATCGCCATCAACGACTGAACACGTGGGGCCCCCTTCCCCCATAATAAAAAAACACGGGACACATTGAAGTTTAATCGTCTGAATTCACCGACTAAATCACACTCGCACCTTACCTGGTAAACGCAAGTCGGACGACGGCAAAGAAATCAACGGATTGACGAAACGAAGCGCGCTTGCGAAAATCGCGAACGGTAGATTGTTATAAGAAGACGAGCGTTGTTGTTGTTGAGGTGGCTACTACACCTTGTTAACTCCTCCACTGGGACTGCAGACAAATGTCGAGTGGGGAGTTTTATAGAGGACGACGACTCCCCCCATCACGAGCCAGAGTCCGCCCCATCATCACCACCACCACCACACACAACGCCCTCCACCTCCTCAAATCCCACAGCTGCCAACCCCTCGTCAGTGCCCCCCACACCTCATCGCAGACCAACTCAGACCTTATTGGTCACACCGCGGTGCCCCTTACGCATCTCAACGTTCATCCTCCAATGTCCCGGCACAAGCGAGAAAAACATTTAAAAACAAAAGACAGAAACATTCTTTTTGCCCGTTTTGCAAAGTCTGTACGCCGTATGGACGTGAAAACACTCAATTTCCCTTTACAAGAAGAATACGGGTGAACCTTACGGGTTGGACACGGTATCAAATTTCCTCGTCTCGTCCCAAAGGTGTCTCTCCACTCTCTCTCTCTCTGACAAATAAGAAGTTTCCTCTGCTTTTCTAAAATTCCTCACCTCGCCAAGTTCATGTACAGTATACGTACTGTACGTTGAACTTCTTTCGCACCGTACGTAGTAGACAATCGTGCTAATCGTAGGGGTGCAGCCTCAGTCCCGGTTCCATTCTCTTAAATTCATCCCTCGTGAAATTCCATCACGATTCCCAAATGTCCCCTCGAACACTAAATACCACCCCGCGCCTCATCACCATCATCCCCTTCGTCGCACACATCGGCAATGATCCATCCACTGCTGGATGTAAAGCCTCCCCCCAAATTATTGCCACCCCCGTTTCTCGCGATGCAGTCCATATGGTGCCTACACATGAGAACAGAGTTCATCTCGCTATTCATATCCCGCCGTGGTTTGGCCTCTCGTGTGGTCTCTCCCCTGTGCGTTGAACTTCTTTCGCACCGTACGTAGCCAACCGTGCTAATGGGGGGTGTGGTGGGTGAAGGACGACAAAAACTAGACACAAACGCAGTTCTAAATGAACAAAAATCTATTTCGATGTAAAAGTGCAAAACTCCCAGTGGCTTCAAGGCTGCCACTCTCTCCATCACCATTCTCGACTACGATATTTGGTAGAACTTAGCCCACCATTCAAGCACGCTTAACTCTTTCTCAAAAATCAACACTACATCTCTAAATAACATTTGTCGTCTCCGATTGTTGTCTCTCCGTGTGATGCCAAGTGTTCACCTCTCCCACGTTTCTTTGCGAAAGTGTTCAGCTTTTGTTCAATCCTCTTCAGTGTTCACGTGTCCAATCCGCGTTGCAGCAAATCGTACGCACTCATTGAAAGCGTTCATCGATCTTCACTCAAAACTGCTCTTGAGGAGTTGTACACCCCTAGCTGCCACTGCTATTCAGTGGCCTAAAATAATGTAAGACTACTGCAATAATTGCAAATTCATTAATCCCTAAGAATGAGCAACACCAAATTAAGCCAAGGGCCTCAAAACCACTTAGACTGTATGGGCTACCAAAGATTCATAAAATCGGTATCCCATTACGACCCATAATCAGTACAATTGGCTCTGCCACTTATAAATTAGCAAAATATATAACTAAACAAATACAGCCCTACATCGGTAGGACATCTTCATTCATAAGAAATTCAGAACATCTTGTGAATGTGATTAAAGATATCAAACTTAATCCTGATATTCTGGTAAGTTTTGATGTGATTTCTCTATTCACTAAAGTTCCAGTGAACGAATCGCTTAAATTACTTGATACACTAGTAAAGAATACAGGTTTACCAAAAGATATTCTGAAACTTGCTGACCATTGTTTAAATACCACTTACTTTTATGGAGAGGGAATTTCTTTAAACAAAAGGAAGGAGCAGCAATGGGCTCTCCTTTATCTCCTGCTATAGCAAATCTGTACATGGAAAACTTTGAAATAAGAGCACTTGCCTCGAGCACATTAAAACGATCTTTTTGGTTTAGATATGTGGATGACACTTTGGTTATCTGGCCACATGGTAAAGATACACTTAATGATTTTCTAAATGATCTCAATACACAAAACCCGGCCATCCAGTTCACCATGGAAATGAAGGTGAATAACACACTCCCGTTCCTAGATATTTTGCTTGGACATGGCATAAACGGTAAAATAACACAGCGTTTACAGAACGCAAACGCAACACTGATGCCTATCTGAATGCAGATTCGCATCATCATCCAGCTCAGAAATCCTCTCTTATCAAGACGCTCATATATCGGGCTAAAACAGTGTCAGATGGTGAAAGTCTAGTGAGAGATATCAAACACGTTAAAGATGCATTACGACAGAATGGCTACAATAATACTCAAATTAACAGAGCACTGAATGCCAAATCACGATCGCAAAGCAACACTGCTGAAAGCGATCAGATTCTTAAAACAATTAAAATTCCATATATCTCAGGAGTAACTGCCAAATTAGCCCGTGTTTTGCAAAAGCAAAACGTTACAGTAAGATTTGGTACAGTACACAAAATTCAAAACTAGTATCTTGCACTAAAGACGAATTACCTAAATTATCAACAGAAGGTGTATATCGGATTATTTGTTTATGTGGCAGATGCTATATTGGACAGACGGGACGTAACATCAGCATAAGACTAAAAGAACACCAAAGAAATATTAAATTATCTCAAACACAACTGTCGGCAGTGGCAGAACATGCTTGTCAACAAGGACACTCAATTGATTTTGATAACGTTGAAGTGTTGTGTAAAACTAATTATTACTGGCAAAGACTAATTAGAGAATCCATTGAAATTGAGAGAAACAGAAATAACTTTAATCGTTCTGATAGCTATAGGCTTAGTGCGGCTTGTAATTCCTTATAGGGAAAACACATTAATTAACGGATTACTAATGTAGCATACAATCACAATAACACACATTACAACTAATTACTAATCATAACCATTGACTGATTACCAATCGATTATATAATTACAATACCCCCCCTCCGCCTCAAATCACTGCACCTGAATGAGTTAAATGATGACGTCACCCTGCTGCTCTATTTAAGACCGAGAGCAAGTGAGGGCTTTACCATTCTGGCGAATTGCCCGATGATGCTGGATGTAATTACCAGCGAAATGTCATATCCAAACTGTAAATGCTATGGATTCACTCTTCAACACACTGGTGGGCTAAAGTAGTGAACTAATTGTCTTTTGTCAACGTGACACTTTTTTGCTGATTGGCCGTGTCGGGTGGTGGAGGGTTACGACACATTTATAAATAACGCGATCTAACCCAAACACCTTTATTATGAATAAAATAAAATGTTTCGCTCCGGATGACCGCTGCCAAGTATTATCTGTATTTTGATTTAGTGTGCTGATCTTAAAGGTGTATTGGAAAATTTGATACTCCGACTGATGCTTCTGTTGTGGAGTAACTCATGCAGCCAGCTATGGCTCTAGGGTTTGGTGTTACATGTTATTTATGTAGTTTATTGTAAAAAATTCGGTCACAGTCCCTATGATCACTATTACGTTGCATTTATGGCTTTATTTTGGTGATTTCGAAAACGTTTTTTGGTTAGGCCATGTTTTTGTTTATTGTAGTACGGAGTTGGACTGATGGCCTTAATCTTAGCTGTCTTGTGGTTGTTGTTGTTTGACTTGCATCCCATTGGGATTTTTGCACACAGCGTTGGTGTACGGTGCTTTTTTCAGGAATATTTTGCTGTTTTTTTCATGGATTTTCTGTTTGCACAGTCACAGTCACTTTAAGATGTTTTTCTTGTTTTTGTATTTTGTTTGTTGCGGTTGCACCCGATTCAAGAGCCGAATGGCTCACAGGGCTATACCAAATAAATGGAACTATGAACTATGATTGCATTCGGAAAATCTGAACGGTGCCTGTGTCAAATTCGGTTTAAAAAAGTTACGTACCATTAGGGGAAAATGTGTGACCGTACTTTAAGATGTTTGTTACATTACAGTACTATATATCATATTAATGCTATACAATTAAACTGGAATATTACGCTATACTACGTATTAAATTATCATTATTTACTTCGTTTGGAAGCTATTTCAGTGAACTGTGCCGTGCATGATTCATCTCCCACTTGCGAAAAAAAGACACTAAAATTAAATTGTATCTCAGCCGTCCGATGTCTATCATCTACAAAGTAAAGGTCGCGCGAGGTGGCCCCTAAACTGTGAACTCATGATTTACGATCGCATTTCATAACGAGAGCGTGTGACACCTTCCCTGCCCAGCGGCTCACTCAGGGCGCAGAGTGTTTTTGTTTGAGGATTCGCTTGACGTGGAGCAGCATCAGCAGCACCGCGTGGCATCGCTCGCATTCTCGTGCAGCTGTCAAACCGCCAGCGGTGAAGACTGGAGCCGAGGTGAAGTATTCATTGCGATGCAGAGATGCGTAGACATTTAAAAGCATTCGTCGTTCACATGGCACCTGTAAGCCAATGTAGCAAAAGAAACACTGGTGGACATCAACTTTTGGAATTTCCTCCCATCACCTCTCTTTCCACCAAGCTCTTATAACTTTTCACAATTCAAGGAGCGCATTGCAATATGATTTGCACAAGGTACACATTCCCCCAATGTATTTTAGAGACAATGTTTGGGGTGTATCTTATAGTCTGGTAGCTGTGTGTTTGTATAACTAAAAACGAGGCACAAGTATTCGTTGGGTTTTTCGGTAAAGTCACGTAGATTCAAATTCATAAAAAAAATCTAAACTACGTTTCGATCACAACACAAGCGATCGTCATCTTCCTCCTGATGACGATCGCTCGTGTTATGATCGAAACGTCGTAATTTTATTTATTAATTTGAACATATCCACGTGACTTTTCCGAAAGACCCAAAGAATATGAATTCCTACAGTCACGAAAGCTTTAAGATCTTACTCGGCACAAGGTTGGGGTGCATGTTATAATGCAGAGAATATGGTAACTGCATGCTACCTTCAACGTGGAAGAGTAGGCCAAAGCATCCCCGAGGAGAAACCTTGTCAGCAGTGGCACGAGCGAGTCATTGCAGGGCTGTACCTGCACTTGTTGCACCTACAATTTTAATAGGCCTGTTTGTTGCAGGCCGCTTGGCGATTTTGGCCTGTGCTTAGTGACTATTTATTAAAATAAAAAAAGTTCCAAAGCTCCCGGGT